GGACTCGTGTCGTAGTAGCGGGGCAGTTCCATGAATGCAAAGAGCTTTATTGTAGGTTTGGTTCCGAGCAGAAATCAGCTGCTGTGTATTCCTCGGCAACCGCAATCATATGCACAACTCCATCGTTGCAGCCTGGGAATCATACTGTTTCAGTGCTGTGTGACGGCACTTGGATCTCCAGCAGCTACACTCAGATTCAAATATTGCATTCTGATATTGTAATGAGCCTCATCCCAAGCATAGGTTTTGTCAGCGGTGGCACTCGTGTACACCTTCAAACCAGCCACCCTGTGAGATCCGAGGCCTTTAGCCATTGTGTTTTTGGTGACGCTAGTGTGGTACAAGTCCAAAAGAATGCACAAGATCAATATTTCTGTGTTACTCCAGCACACAAGCAAGGTAGTGTCGAAGTTCGAGTTGTGCAGAAGGACTCATCGTCATATGGAGGTCGTCAACCAGGCCCTTCCCTTTCGTTCTTGTACGTCGATGAGCCGGAGGTCACTGGAATCTACCCTAGTCTTATCAAATCTGGTAAACAGACGCTGATCTCCATAACTGGGCGCAATCTGCTTATGCCAGAGGCCTTTTGCAGCTTTGGCAACACAGGAAGCACTCGGGGGCGTGCCATGACGAGCACTCTACTTACCTGCATGGCACCGCCAATGCCACCAGGCCGATCATATTTACAAATCTCACCCAATCATGGCGGAAAGCTTGTTGCAAGCCTGGCTATAGAATTTGTTGATCAGCCCGTCATCACAGCAATACAGCCTACACATGTTCTCCTTTCGAGCAGTAGTAGACAGGTTGTGACGCTGTATGGACAGCATTTCATTGACAAAGAGATGATGTTATGTCGCTTTGGGCAACGAAAGACAGTGCGAGCTCAGGTGGTACAAGACAACAAGGTTTTGTGCATCTTTCCGAATCTTATTTATGTAGGCAATATGACAGTTTCTGTTGTCGATCATAGTGGATTCTCTTCCAACGAACAGCAATTTGTTGTATTGCCTTCTATTTTGATAGATAGAATTGTTCCATCCTGGATCCTTTGCACCATGCCGGCTGTACAGAAGAGCGGGACAGTGCTGATACGGGCAGTAGAGGGAGCCCAAGGGTCGAGTAGGGGCCTTGAGGGAGAAGTGAGGTATGTTTACTACAATGAGCCTGTGGTGACTCGCGTGGAGCCAAGCAGTGGCGCTCTGGAAGGGGGTACCATGCTGAGCCTGTATGGGCGGGGGCTGGAAGAAGGCAGCAATCTAACGTGCAGGTTCGGGACCGGAGATGCGGTCGCAGGCCGGCAAGAGACTTCTACGATGGCCACCTGTGTTGCACCCCCGCGCCCAGTCAAGGACGTCGTCTGGTTGCAGGTGAGCCTCAACGGAGGCGCGGACTTCTCCGGATCTGCAGTCGAGTACGCATATGAGGCCGGGGCTACGGTGGACGAGGTGAGGCCGTCCGCGGGAGATAGCGGGGTCGACGGTCAGACCGTGACCGTGATAGGCCGCCACTTCGGGTCGGGACAAGGGCTGAGCTGCTTGTTCGGGACAAGGGGGCGGGTACGGGGCATGCCGATGACGTCGACGGCGGTAGTCTGTGTAGCGCCGAGAGGGGGTCCGGGGGCGGTCGGGGTATCGGTGAGCAACAACGGAGTGGATGAAGGGCAAACAAGGGGCGGGTTCGTGTACAGCGGTGATCTTAAGGTAATACGCAAGGTCACCCCAAGCTCAGGGCCGTTGGCTGGGGGTACCAACGTGACCATAGCAGTCGACGGTTTGCGTCGGGCGGCGTTGTCATGGACGACAGAGAGACCTTGGGGTTGCGTTTTTGGAACCTCAGTCGTGCAAGCACAAGCTTTGACCACGTCGCTGATCAGCTGTAAGTCGCCTACAAGCTTGCGGGCAGGAGAAACGAAGATGTCGTTGGTGGACGATCTTGGTAACGTCGTTGTCAAGGGCAAGTCTGCATTCGTCTACTACGAGGGGCCAGAGGTAAGCTCGGTGGTGCCCAGCATAGGGAGACAGACGGGAGGTATGGTGGTAAGTGTCGTGGGCCAGGGCCTCATATCCCGAGATCCCGTTTGTCAATTTGGCCCGTCCATAGTCCAGGGCAAGGACGTTACGAGCCTTAGCTCATCAGTGCTGCTATGAGCACCGTGAACCGGCTAGTTTGCGCGGAAGAGGGGGGGTATCCTGGTGAGCCTCAACGGAGGCGCGGACTTCTCCGGATCTGCAGTCGAGTACGCATATGAGGCCGGGGCTACGGTGGACGAGGTGAGGCCGTCCGCGGGAGATAGCGGGGTCGACGGGCAGACCGTGACGGTGATAGGCCGCCACTTCGGGTCGGGACAAGGGCTGAGCTGCTTGTTCGGGACAAGGGGGCGGGTACGGGGCATGCCGATGACGTCGACGGCGGTAGTCTGTGTAGCGCCGAGAGGGGGTCCGGGGGCGGTCGGGGTATCGGTGAGCAACAACGGAGTAGAAGGAGAGACCGCTAGCGGCATCGTCAGCGTGAGGTATGAGTACCGCTCAGGGATGTCAGCAAAGTCCGTGGTACCTAGTCAGGGACCGTCAGTGGGAGGAACGGTCGTGAGAGTGATGCTTGAAGGGACGATCGGAGGTGAGGACGGGACTGGGGAGTGGCTCTGTGTATTCGGAGACTCTATGAGCCGCGGGCAATTGAACGTGTCATCGCCGGACAACGCTTCCGTGGCATGCAATCTGCCACCATCGATGCCCTCTACCGTCTCTGTACAAGTGCGACGACCGAGTGGACAGAAGCTATTAGGGGACCTAAGGTTCCAGTACGTACTTCAAGCCAGGCTCATAAGTGTATCTCCAAGTCAAGGTGGAGCAGGGGGAGGATCGAGGGTGACCATCACAGGAGAGGGAATCGGGCGAGAGGGGCTGAGGTGCTGGTTTGGGGACAAGGCCGTGGAGGGGAGAGGCGTGGAGTGGATATCGTCGAGTCTAATCAATTGTTTAGTGCCTGATTTTGGGCGTGTTCAACAATATATTTTTGTGCAGGTTCGCTGGTTTGATTCCTATATTCAAGACTCTCTTTTGTACCATGTACTGGAATCGCATGTCTCTTCTATATGGCCGTTGGCGTTCTGTTCGAAGCGTTCCACGATCACGGTCCCCGTATTTGAG